CTCCACGCTGTTTATGAAAGCGGATTTTACTAGTATAAGTCGTACTGGTCACCCATCAGCATTCTCCTCTCCAATAGCATTTTAATCAGCGGTTTGGTTGCAAGGCTCTAGGTCTCGCTGATAACTCGGAGAATTAGGCCCGCCCTGCTCTCCCTCCCGCCGCCTCATTTCGTTTGGGGGCTGGCGGCGCCCTCTGCTCCCCCTGGCTGTGCGTGGGGTGGGAGTGGGGGGGTGCACTTTTCCTACCTGGGAAACTCCTCCTCTCCTCTCCCGCCCAGCACGCGGCAGGTTCTGCCTTCAATCTGGTGCATCAGTGCCCTCTGGTGGTCACAGGCTGCAGCAGCTACTCCCTCAGCCAGACGGTGTTTGCTGGAAGCAGCGCTGGGAAGTTCTGGCCTGCTCTCACTTCCTCTTAAGCTTCAGATGCTGACGCTCCGGTGAAGCCCGGGCAGAGAGCGTCTGCCCCTTTATCACTTACTCTGTCACTAGCCACCTGAGTATGGCCTCAGCAGCTCCTGCTACCGCTCTGGCTCTCTGTTTCTCACCTGTAAACGGAGAGGATTAAAATCGATCATCTCCCGCTTTAACATTCAGGATTGATTGTGGTTCAGGGACAGTCATTCACTCAACAAGTACTGTGTCAATCAACTGTAGAGGTTCAGGCTCATCAGAGAGCAAACCTGTGCGTTCCTGGACTTTAAATTGCAGCAGGAGGAGATAGTTAATAAGCAATTAACATAACACAAGCAAGAAAGGAATTTTTGGAAGGACGCCGTGTCGCCTACCACCCAGGGGTTCCATCTGGATTCTTCCAATGGGTGCACTGCCTTGGATTGCTTTAATGAAGGAATCTGCTTCTAGATCCATTTAGTCCTAAAACTGACCCGCCCGAGGATCATGCGGCTGGTGTGCCTTTCCCATCTCTTCGTTTACCAACGGCCTTCTCCCACTTCACACACAAGCATCCATCTAAACAGCTTGAAAAATGCTGGGCTGCAAGCAATTCGGCAGACTTCAAACAGCAGGTGTGGCAACATCTAAAACCAAGGCAGCAGAAGGCAGCCCCGCCCCCACCATCCGTCAAACGACAGGCTTTTTCAATAACACTTTCACTTTTATCATTATCTAGCAAAATGATAATTAATAAATTGATAAATTTAATAAATTAAATATATTAATATACATTAATAAGTTGATCGCTAATAATCACAGTAAGGATAATTAAGCCCAGATTTCTTTTTACAAGTAGAGCTTAGTGACCAAAAGAAATTAAACTTTAATTAAAAAACATTATTAGAGGGGACTGTGATAGGATGATCAAAAATACACATAAAAATACATTGCATGGAAATAAAAGTGTGTGGAGGAAGTAGAATCGATGGCAGGTTTCAAGGAGAAAAGAATACAATTTTAAAATTGTTCTTGTGTGCTTTCAGTGGACAACGGTAGGTATTAAACTGCTATGGGATTTATTTCCCACTGGAGGTATACATTTTAAAGTAATGTTGCAGTTTTATTTTAAAATGTAAATATTTATAGTAAATTGGAAATGTATAATGTTGCAACTATTCCCTCATGATTCAAAACTTTTGGAGGGGAATTTTAAAATATGCAAGGGAGTCCTTCTTTCGGGAATATTACTTTAGGGGTGCATGAGGAGAAATGTTTGCTGCCATCAGCATAAGGAATTAAAGGCAAAGCTGAACAAGCCTTGGCAAGGACAGGAAGGCAGAAGGCACCTTGGTTGCTGAACATTGTGGACTCAGGTGTCACCGCCATCAACATGGCTCAGCTCCATCTTATGTGCCTGACTTTCAGCTCAGAGCTCAATTCTGGGGAAAGGGAACCTGAACAGCCCTACCTAAGCTGTACTCTGTTCAGAGGGGACTGTGGGACACCACGACTGACGGTTGCACCAGGATCCCTTGAAATGCAGGGGAGGGTGATTCTCCCAAAGGAAACAGCATGATTATCCAAAAAGCGGAGGGCATTTGGGAGTGAGCACCCCTCCTCCAGGAAAGGGCAGCAACAGCCATTGCAAACCCATGTTCAAGGGGAAGCTGCAGAGAAGTGAGAAAATACATACTGGGTGAGTGGGTTGTGGTGAGGACGTCCCAGAACAGGATCCTAAACACAAGTAGAAGGATTAAACAGATGGAGGGACACCTCTTTTGCCATGGCTGAAGCAAGGAGGAGGGACCAGGTGTGGATGCAGGGAATTTGCAGGTGGGCTGAAAGGAGAACCAGAGAGGGGGCCCATGATGGTTCCAATGCTTCTATTTAGTGGGAGCAGATAAAGCCACTTGGGATGAGGGCCAGGAGTTAGGGGATGCAAGAGATAAGCTTCTTGTGCTTCTTAAGACTTCGTGTCTTTTTAGAATCTAATGCTCTTAGCACACAGGCACACCGTTATAATCCACGTAACTACCACCTCTGGCCTTTTCTCCTTCAGACAGTCAGCTTCTTCTCTGGTTCCCATGGCTCTTTGGTTTTGTTTTTTTGAGGTGTGTGTTTTTTTTAATATATTTTTATTGATTTCAGAAGGGAGAGGGAGAGGGAGAGGGAGAGGGAGAGGGAGAGGGAGAGATAGAAAGATCAACAATGAGAAAGAATCATTGATCAGCGGCCTCCTGTACACCCCCTACTGGGGATTGAGCCCACAACGCAGGCATGTGCCCTTGACCGGAATGGAACCCAGGACCCCTTTAGTCTGAAGGCCGACCCTCTATCCACTGAGCCAAACCGGCTAGGGCCCCATGGCCCTTTGTATACCTCTCCCCTATGGCTATGACCACATTCATTACCCAAGTGTTGAGGATGCCTGGGATGGTGGTACACTCTAGTCAGGTTAGTCTTCACTTCGCTGGCTCCCACAAATGTGTCCTGGTGGCATTGCTTCCATATTGGACTCAAACAGGGTTAGATAGGACTTCTTAGGAGTTGTTATTAAAGTGTACAGAGGTGACAGCTAGTTCCCTTTTCTGAGTTCCCGGACAGTGCTGGGGGGAGCTGCATGAGGAATGGGAATGCTTCCAAATAGTGCCGCCCACTGACCCCTAATGAGGTGTCCGAATCTATGCCTGAGCGAGCACCCGCCTCTCCTTTGTCTCCATCTCTCTCAGCAAGCACTGTGTTTGCTCTGAGTGGATCTAAGAGTAAAGAAAGTCATTATTCCAAGGCTTCCAAATGAGTGTGTGGTTAGAATAAACTCAAGAATCCAGTCAAACCTTCTTAAGGAATCGTAAGAAAAAGGTAATTTCTTTGAGTTAAGCTATTGAATCTTAGGAGTCATCTTGAGAGCAATCAGATCTGATGTGTATGGTTAGTTAAGACAATGCAGCATTTCAGGTGCACGCCTGAATAAGAGTATATGAAATATCCCCATTTACAAAACAGACTGGGGGTGGGGGGTGGGGAGGAAGACAATGATCTTATATAATAAAAGGCTAATATGTAAATCTACCGAATGATTGCACTGACCACCAGCGGGCAGACGCTCAATGCAGGAGCTGACCCTGGTGGTCAGTGCGCTCCCACAGGGGGAGCACGGCTCAGCCAGAAGCTGGGCTCATGGCTGGTGAGTGCAGAGGTGGGGGCAGGAGCCTCTCCCGCCTCTGCAGCAGCACCAAGGACCCCTCGGGGGATGTCTGCTGGCTTAGGCCCACTCCCCACGAGCAGGTGGACATCTCTCAAGGGGTCCTGGACTGTGAGAGGGCACAGGCCAGGCAGAGGGAACCTCTCCCCCTCCTCCCCCAGTGCATGAATGTCATGCACCACGTCTCTAGTTTATAAATAAAACCTATACTGTCATGGTAAAACTTCTTTTAATGAAATCCACCAGTGGATTTAAATTATCCTATCAAAATTCAAAATACACATAATTTTAACACAGCCATTCCAGATGCTAAGTATAAGGATACTGTATTCATAATAGCTTTTTTATAACAGCAAAAAACTTGTCAGAGTACTGGCTAAATAAATTATCTGCATATGGAATATTACACAGGTAAGACATCCAAGATAGACTGAATTTAAAAGCAGGGTGAAGAAGTGTGAAGAATAGGCCATCATTCCTATATAGAAAAATACATATGAAGTTATATTTGCAAGTACATAGAGCATTTCTGAAAAGATAAGCGAACACTGGTTATAACTTACCTGTAGTGAGAGAAATGGGTGCGCTGGGGAAAAGGGTGATTTTTGTTTTGTTTTCTTTCAACTGCATGCATTACCTAGTCAAAGTTTTCTATTAAACACACTCCCTCCTCATACAAAATGTTTTTATGTCAATTGTGGTACATCCATGTTGAAAAGGATTTTTGTGTAGTTGATTAATTAGTTTCTAGAATATCCCAATCTAGATTTTTTTTTTTTTTTTTTTTTTTTTTTTTTTTGCCAATAGAAAGCTTGGGTTTTGTTAACTGTGTGATATTGGACAAGTCAACCACCTATGTGGTCTCAGAACTCATCTGAAAATGATGGGCTTAGACCAGTGATGGCAAACCTATGACACACGTGTCAGAGGTGCCACGCAAACTCATTTTTTTGGTTGATTTTTCTCTGTTAAATGGCATTTAAATACATAAAATAAATATCAAAAATATAAATCTTTGTTTTACTATGGTTGCAAATATCAAAAAATTTCTATATGTGACACGGCACCAGAGTTAAGTTAGGGTTTTTCAAAATGCTGACACGCCGAGCTCAAAAGGTTCGCCATCACTGGCTTAGACTATCAATGCCTTCCACCAATCTCTTCATGGTTTAAGATGCTGTGATTATATGATTTGACTTGGCAACATTTGAAAAAAAAATTGCAATACATTGGCAAAGAGAATTGGTGTATGTCAGACAGTGAGGGGTGTTATGGCTGGAGTAATTATATATAGTTACTACTATTTTTATAATATATCTTCTATCTTAAATCACACTTTATGAATTCCTTTTCACTTCTCTTCCATTCATATTTGAAATACCCAAGGAACAACAAAAGAGGCATATTCAACTGAAGAAATTTATTTACTTTTTTTTTTCTAGGTACATAGATGACAATTATAGACAAGTTTTGATACATAGGAAAACCCTTCCGTCCTTTCTCTTTGCTAAATGAATCATCACAATAATTTTTACAATTTTTAAAACAATACACAGCGTTCTTGGGCTGAAGCAATTGCGAGAACATACTGGTACTGGTATATTACAGCTACTTACAATGTTTAAAAACAGCAATGGAGAAAAATAAGTTATTTAAATACTGATTTCATATACAGAAAGTGCAATGTTGTTAGTTGTTATATAACTTGCTTGACAGTTTGTTTTCTCTATCAATTTAAAACTCAAGGTAACTTGGACTCAGACGACTAGGTTTATTTTTCTGTAAAGAATACAGTACACACAGGCAGCAGTGACTTGGTGAACTGACTCCCTTTGCTGCTGGTATGAAAGCAAACTTTGCTATGTCAGGAACGGATTACCAATACACCAGTCATTTCCAATGTCACCCGCCGCCAGTTCAGGTGGGAGGAAAGGGCTCTGGCTAAGAAGGCAGGCAGGCCATAGAAACCTATCTCCTACTTGGCTATGTGGGAATGTCAGTCGTGGTCGGGGCTGGCTGCATCTCCTCCTAGACAGCTTCCAAGCAAAAATGTACACAACGGATGTGTAGCTACCTGAGCCTAACTGCCTCTCCAGGTTTCTTTTGTGCTTTCCCTAGACAACCGTTTCCACCGGTTCCTCAACCTCCTGTACCAAGTGCAACTGGTTAATCCTGGATATTGCTGACACCTCCCGCCTGTCTTCCAACACCTGCAGGCAGCCCCAAACCACCTCAGTCAAATGTCACACACAAACACTGAGGCTTTTTTTTTCTAAGATCAAGTTAAGAGTTTAAAGCAAAAGAAGACTCAACAAATACTAACAATTAAAAACAAGATTTTAAAAAGCACAATCAAGTAAAAACCACCTCAGACCTTTAAGATTAGGAAGACCTTCCCACCGACAATTATTCCTGGTCCCTGAATTTGAGGTTTGTATGCAAAGGCAATGATTTCCAAGGAAGAGTGACAAAAATACGGTTTGGCATTCTCAAAAGCTCAAGCTCAGAAAATTCCCTTTTCTGGTGCCATTTTTACTTAAATGAAAATGTTACAGTGAAAAGGAATTGAAACGTGGGAATTCACACAAGATTTCTCCTTCCCCTGTTACCTGATTTATGCGTGGTCATTTTGCTCAGCTTTAAATATGAGCAGGGCCCCTCCCGTCATGCTGAGCTTACTGCAAACACAGGTGAGAAGCCCGTCTTCGCCCCGCCTCCACCGCGCCATGGGAAATGGGGTTCCGCCACGTGGTTACAGAACTGCAGCCGCCTTACTTCCCAAATGGACCATGCTAACCGGGGTGTCAGAACCCAAGGTGACAAAAATGGGCTGTTTTAAGAGTGCCATAGAAATTCGACAGCTTTTGCTTTTTTATTCCAGATTTCCACAACTTCTTCACATGGCACCCTACAGACGGTATCATTGAAGAATGTCTATTATTTTTAAAAACGCATACCGAAGCATGAACACATACATCACCTGAGAACGTTCTTCCCCCCGAAACGTGGATTTAAATATATAAAGCAAACACTAAAGATGGCTTTGTGGTGAAGGAAATCAGTATTTTCCCTCCCGAGGGAAATCATCTATCTTAGCCAGTAGATGAACTGTTACAGAACTTTTGGTCAGAGTTTTGTGTTGAATTTGTACTGTAAGTAATCACATTCAATGCTTAGCACAGTGCCCACGATAAGAATGTAAAGCAAAGTCATCTTATAAAAATGGAAACCTTATCCGTGTAGTTGCCTAAACTTCTGCTTGCTGTAAAATCAGACACAGACTACGAGAGGATAGAATGTGCTGATATCAGTTGGAAACAACCAAAAATATGCAAATACTTAATATGTGGCAAATATGTGGTATGTCTGGCTCCAAAATGAACCTTTATTTGAATGAAAAGAATGATCTAAATAAGAAGGAAAACAATATCTTAATTGTAAAACAGGGGAGGAAAAAAAAGCTTTAAAAACATCTCATAAACTACTTCCCTTTTTCAAAACATCTCTCTGAAACCAGCCTTACAATGGCTCTTTGCAAAGGTGATCTGGTGACAGAGTTTTGGGATGGACCTGGTCAGGGGTCCAAGCCAATACCGCAGCAGTGACCAACAGGGTAACACCACCAAACTGATTAAAAGGAAAGGTGGTTCTGTAAGCGCCCACACACCGCCCGCCCCCCACACTCACATAGACACACATGATATCTTTGTGAATCCCAGATAGTTCTTCACTAGACTTGTAGCTAGTTTAAAAACTGAAAGCCAACGTGAAATTTGTGCCAGATAAACACTCCTACAAAATAAGCCATGGAGAATGAGATCCTTAGAAAAGCCCATTTTTGCTGGAAACATCCCAGATATGTTAGATGGCAGTCTAAGCTGAAGACTTGGAACTATGGTTACAGGGTAGTGAACACTAGTTAGATAACTGCTTGAAAGCTTACATTAAGGCAAATAAAAGCTGATTGCTAGAAAGCAATTATTAAAATGTCTCGTTTATCTAAAGGAGAATAGGACTGTTTGTTCCTCTAGTGCAGACAGATTTTCTTACTTTTGAACCAATGAGCGTGTCAACCGATGTACAATCACTCCCGAGTCTGTTACTTTGGCCTAGCTAAGCCTGTCTGGTCCTCGGGGACCCTGCAGGGTGACAGACAGAAGGTCAACGGCACCATCAGAAACGGAACCGGCTGCCCCTCCCTCTGCCCCCAGCCCTCTCTCCCAGGGCACCCAGACAGACCGGAGGCACAGCATTTGTGGCAAGTTGGCATCTGGGTTCTATCGTGTTCTGAAAATAAAAATAAGTGCTCCTCTTTTCTTTGGAGGGGAGGGGGGTGTCAAAGAGAACCACCCCCATTTCCTCAAAGGGGCTTTTCTGGAGAAGAGAGGGTTATCGGTCCCGTGCCAAGGTTTCGAGCTCCGTCTGGCCACAAACTGGGCCTTTCTTCTGGATCTGGTCTGCATGTCCAGGGAAGGAGAAATTGCATCAGCAACATAAGCACAGTGAAAGGGTGGCTCTTGTCCAGGGAGTTCCGTCGAGGGCCTGGCTACATGGCCTCGGGGCCGGGCGGCAGTTTGAAGAGTCTGGCTGCAGATATGAGCTTGCTTATGTGTCTCTCCTCTGTGATGCCGGCCTCCTGAAGGCAAGTGTGGGACAGAGAAGGCACTTGGCCCAGTGTGCGGAACCCCGCTTCCGTGAGGGCGCTGGTGTACATGGGCAGACCGATGGAGATCAGCCAATCCGACACAGACGAAACACATCCGGGGGAGAGGGGCTTTCTACAGATTTCTGTGAGTCCGCCACTCGGGATCTGGATAAAGGAAGAAAATGATTTTTAGAAAGACTCTACAGGTGCCATTGGAGGGCTACTTCTTATAGGCCTAAAAGGAACACTGCTAACCTATTACACTGTTGTACTATCAGCAAGTGATGATGCTCTGTGTCAAAACCCAGGCAGCATAAAGAATCTTTTCTAGATTTTTTCAGAGGGGAGACAAATTTTCAAGGAAGTATTTAAGGCTCTAGAACAGGGGTGGGCAAACTTTTTGACTCGAGGGCCACAATGGGTTCTTAAACTGGACCGGAGGGCCGGAACAAAAGCATGGATGGAGTGTTTGTGTGAACTAATATAAATTCAAAGTAAACATCATTACATAAAAGGGTACGGTCTTTTTTTTTCAATAGTTTTATTCATTTCAAATGGGCCGGATCTGGCCCGCGGGCCGTAGTTTGCCCACGGCTGCTCTAGAAGGTACGTGGAATTAGATCTAACCCCAAAACTCTCCACACTCTGAGCATTTATATTCCTGGCTACTTTGTCTTGTGGTGACCCGTCCTGTGCAGCAGGGTGACAAGTAAAATACTCCTGGTTGTGCACTTACCAAGCAGATTTTCCACTGTATTTGAATCTACATTAGCAGCTAGAAGATTAAACATTTTATCGATATAGTTATAAAGAATCTCAGATACAATAAGAACAAGTATCGGCTAGGACGGGGAAATGGACTTGGGGAAGACCAAGGGCTACACCTTCCAAAAGGTAACTGACTACTCCGTGTGCACACCCTGAGGTTGTGTGCCGTCCCCAGGAAGCAAACCCTTTCAAGTCATGTATCCTCAGAAATTAACCTCAGATGTCTACAAAGATGTATTAAGAATGTTTTTCACTACATTATTAAAAAAAATTGGAGAAAACCTAAATGTTTCACCCACGCAGACTGGCTAAACTACAGCACATTCCCTACCAGGACACTTTGCAGTACTGATGACACAAAAGAACTTCAATGCGGTTTTGAAACCTGACTGTTTTCTGTTGTCAGGGCATGAATCTAGCTCTCTTAACAAAAGTTCTTTTGTGTAATCATTAAGCTCTGTAACTAAATGGACTCCAAAAGCGGGGCAAGGGGCCCCCCCGCAGTGCACACGGCGGCTGCTCACCGCCATGCGGTGCTGCTTGCGCAGCAGCTTCACCCGGATCTGGTCCATGTTGGTGGCCACGTCCCTCTCGGGCTGATCCAGGTCCTCTGCGTATCTCTGCACCAGGGCTTCGGGGATCCCGCAGCGGCCGTGCTGCGAGGGGAACAGAAATGTGGTGTCAGGCGTGGTCGTGAGGATCTCTCTTTCTCCAAGGACAGCCAGCAAGCATAAGGTAGGTTAAGACACTGAGCTACGACGACCGGGAAACAGCAACAGAAGTTTTTATTTGAAGTGAATATGTTTTCTCTACAGTCAGAATGTTTTAGACCGAATACTTTTACACCTTCTTCATCTTTCAGGTAGTCATGAGCTCTAAAACATGTTTTGAAACATAATTAAAGTAGAACACAACCATCCTACATTTGGGGGGGCCAATGCCCTCACCTCACTCTACCTGATCACTTTGCAAAATATTACTGAAAACCGTCTCTTGAACTGCAGGGAGAAGGGCAGCCTTCTGCTCTGCCATAGCCTCCTGCTGCACCTCGTCTATTAAGACTTATCCCGCAGGCCTGGCCAGGGAGCCCAGTTGGTTACAGCGTCATTCCAAAGGGGGTTACTCACTAGCTATTAAGGCGAAGGAGGACGTTATTGTAAGGCATTCGTGGTCACAATTTTATAACAAGGAAGCCATGACTGCATTATATTATAACAGAGCTTGCATTTCCCTGAGCAATGTATGGCTACATCTATTCTCATTTGTCTTCAAAGTCATCGTGGTATTGGTAGACCACTCTTTGTTTCAACTGAGAAATGAGTTTTCATTATAGAGCTCAATGTTCTTGGTACAATGCAATTTTCACATCATCTTTCCCCCGTTATCCACACAAGATGATGTACTCTACAATTATTACATCTGAATAGGATTCTATAATTTCCAAAGTATGTTCAGATTTATTTTATTTGTTCCTAATAATACCTCTAAGAGGTAGTTATGTAGGTTATTATCAATTCCATTTTACAAATAGGAAAATGAAATGAGGAATTTTTAATGTCTAAAAACATACGCATTGAGTTAAGACAGGAAAACTGGAACTCAGGTCTGTCCTGTCCTCTAGAGTCTAAACCAAGCCTTTCAGGAAGCAGTTCTAGTACTGACTGATAGTTCTCCCTGCAATGTACAGCTGCCAAAGTTTAAAAACAAACAGGCAAAAGAAAAAAGAGAAAGGAAAAGAACAGCCAGGGCTGTATTTGCATTTAATCTGGACATTCTGCCCCCATCATGCTACCACCAAGCTGCAGAGGCCCCTGCTGTCAGCCACCCCATGCTCTGCCAGAATGGCCCCCACCTCCGGGCTGGCCTCCTGGGTTAACTGGTGTTCCTCTCGCCAGACTATAAAAGCAGAGGCCCGTGAAGTGGGGCCTTGGATACCTTATCAGAATATGGCTCCTCAGTGAGATCGATGCCTTCAGCTCGTAACTTGTCTTCAGTGAGCATTTCCAGATCGACTCCCCGAGCGCAGGAGATCTTCCTGGTCACAGCCGGGCCCAGTCTCACGCCGTGCTCCTGGAGGCTCGCGCTCTCCCGCAGCTCGGAGAGCCAGGGCGGTGGCCGTGAGCTTGGTGGGCTGCCAGGTTCCTGCCTGGAGGGAGGCTCAGAAGCCTGAGGAGAGGGATAGTCGCTGGGGCCGCTGGAGCCACCCTTCTTCAGGGGCAGGCTCGGTGCGCTAGGACCTGGAGGGCAGGGGTGGAGGCCGTTGGCCAGGCGCTCTTTGCTCTTCTTGGCAGGAACAGGTGGAGGCTGCGTAGGATGTCGGCCTGGTGTTACGGCCTCAGGACCCCGCTGCTCACCTTCTTTGGTGTTCAGGGGCTGATAGGTTCCTTCAAGAGCAAGTCCTTTTCTGTGACCCTCAAGAGGAGTCCTTGTTAAACTGTGTCTAGGAGGCTGAGCATCATAGTTTTGCAAACACGGAGGAGGCGACGTGCCACTTGCAGTGGCTGTAATCGAGCCGCCCAGTTTCTTAGTAGTCGTTTTCTGAGGGTCAGAAAACCTCTTGCTTTGGGTCAGTAGCAACGCATTGTCAACAGCAGACTCTCCCTGGGGGCTGTGAGCCTTGGCGATGGAGGAGGCTGTCTTTTGTGGCACTTCCGGTACAATCTGAGGGCAGGGTTCTGTCACCGCGCCAGGCACATCTTTTTCAGCATCAGGCTCTCCTTGGAGGTCATCCAGGGACTGGGATCGGGGCCAGGTCTTCACAGGCTGCGGGCCCTCCAGGGTCTCACAGCTCCGGCAGATGGACACGGGGAGGCTTCTCCGGTTTTTATTCAAGCCAGTCGCACAGGGCTGATCACAGCGCTTGACAGTGTGAGGGGTCAGGCCGCTGCCCAGCCTGTTCTCCACCCCCTGCTTCAGGGCGTCCACCGACTTCGGTAACGGCAGCGTTGGGAAGGTGCCCAGCTGATTCCTGCTGAAGGACTTCAAGCTGGACTCGGCTGATGACTTGGCAGAGAGAAGGCCGGATTTCCGAGTCTTGCCTGAGAGACAAGGAAGTGGGTTACAATCCCATCTTAAAAGGCGAATCAATCGGATACATACAGGCGTGCTAACATAACTGAAATCTCCTACTCCTATATCCCATTATGGAATTACATACACTCAGAGCCGACCAGCACCATTCGTGATGTTGAGTGGTAAAAGGGTCACTACCGTCTCGTTTTTACGTTTAGAAAAAATTCTTAGTCTTATTAAAGGATTCACAGAGATCAAAATTAATGGAGTTACACGGGAAGGAAATACGCTGTGTCAGGTAACAAAATAAGTCTGTTCCTAGCTGCAATCAGTGTGGAAGGGGCTGACCATCCACAACCCACTTAGAAACCACAGGGCCGGGATTTCTGTCTTGTGAGTGTCATTCCCTAAGGTCACGGTTGCAGAGGGGCGGTGCCCCGGTGCTGGGAAAGGTTCATAAGTGGTACCGCTCCCTAAGGTTCAGTAGGGACTTCTCAAATTACACCTTCCTCCACATCCTCCCCTCTTTGTGGTGTGTGTCTAAAATAAATGAGTCCTAGAAGCAGTCAACCAACCATGGTACAAATAAGTGAACAAGCTTACGAGAGTATTTTGCCTGAGACAATCTATAAAATATTGACAGGGTTCTAATTCCCAGTGAAACGACAGCCCTGATTAAAACAAACTGTCTGACTATTAACTGGACTATCAACCAGACGTAATCTACTTATTTGGCAATTGTTGACTGATATTAACCACTAAGCCTCATGGTGAATTTACTGGCTGTGGGTCAGGCACCGTGCTAAATGCTTAGTTTTCATCAATATCTAACCCTCTCTCTCTCTTTCTCTCACTGTGGTTAGTACCATGCTGGTTGTATGCCTTGATCCTGGGCTGAGGGGAAGATCCCTGGTGATAAAACATGAGCCAAAAGATCCTAGTATTTTGCATTTGGCAAAGCAGAGACCCAGTCAAATGACATTTGTCTTCCTGGGTGCATCATAATGTGAGCCCTCAGACCTTGCCACCTGTATGCTAGCAATATGCTAGGCTAACATTATTAGGCACTGCTAGGTTATAATCTAGTTTTACATGGAGATCATTAGCCCAGTGTTACTACTAAATATACTGACCATGGTCCCATTTCTCAGTAGTAGAAAAATCATTACAGGTAAATTAGAAAGGGGAAATTCTTCATAAAGCATATACGTTAAATCTGAAGTTTAAAAATTCATAAAACCACTTAAGTATAACTTTTAGAAATACGGTGTTCCCCCCACCCCCACCCCATACTCTCAATATAAACTACATGTACAAATTCCATGTTCACATTCTGCTTATAATGGAAGGTGCCTGAATTCACCTGAAGTGAGCCATCTTTAATCTAGTTCTTATGCAGGTGCACCTGAATCCTTCTCAGCATTAGAAAGTTGGCCAGTGATATCTGTAAAATTCCTACCAATCTAGTCAACCAACTGAGTGCTAGGGATTCATGTGTGTTCCAATAGAGATGAATATAATAATAAGTAAAATAACAATCAGGCCCAGCTGGTGTGCTCAGTAGTTGAGCATCAACCTATGAACCAGGAGGTCACGGTTCGATTCCTGGTCAAGGCACATGCCCCGGTTGCAGGCTTCATCCCCAGTGTGGGGTGTGCAAGAGGCAGCCAATCAATGAGCCGATCTCTCATCATTGGTATTTCTCTCTCTCTCCCTCTCCCTTCTTCTCTGAAATCAATACAAATATATTAAAAAAACAACAAAACAAAACAGGGCTATGGGTATATGCGCTCACAAACCAGAAATTAGAGCTAGAAGCACTGTTTCCTTTAAACACACCTTTATTTCTCCCTTCAATGAAAATACTTTCCTAGTGAGAATTAGACCAGAACTGTGTAACCTGATTTAATATTTGAATAAACAAAGGTGGGGAAGGTACAATATCTTTAACTGTTAAGTGGTTAAAGCCAAAAAGATGGGGGGGAGGGGGATGCTTTTAGTTTGTTTGAATTGTAAACTTTTGGCAATTTCAGACCTTTGCTGCATACTTTTATTCTGCTTTCCAAAATGAAATTTATGGTTGATCCTGTTGTCCCAATACTGTTTCCTGAATGTCGTCCATGTGCATGTAACTATGGAGGATATATTATAAGTAAGCCACTGATTCAAAGAGTCCATCTTTTGCAGTGGGTATGGGACTCAATGCTCCAACTATGGGCAAAATCACATATTCTTTGATAACTTCCAGTTATTAACTAGACCATGGGTAGGGCTGGCCCAGCGATGCAGTGTGGGGACCATAACTCCGAGCCGCAGCCAAGCTCTCTGAAGGAGAAGGAAGTACCTTATTAGATGTGGGTAGTTGTGTTCTGGTCAGAAACTTGGAGACTTTTGAAAAACAAAAAGTAATATTTTAAGATGTAATTGTAGACCCTTTATTTTCAGAGACCTAGCTTCCACAGGGTGGAAAAAAATGAAGCAATGAACGTTTGGATAAAGTCCGTGTTTTCACTTAATTTTAATATTAATCAGAGGTTTTCATATTGTCATCTGTGATAGACCACCACAGAATCCATCTTTTCATTGAAGGAGCCCTGGAACTGTGATCCCCGAGCTAACAAGTTTGCCTGATTCACTGGCACAGCCGAAAGCACCGAGGGCTGCCCCTCCTTGCGCTTACTATGTCCGAAAGAAGAAAAACTGAGGTGAGGGACGATGATGGTGCTGAAGGAACCAAACCTCATGCCCTGGCTTGGCATCATACTCTCAGAGGGGCTCCTCGAAATCCTCAGATTGAAATGAGAGGCCCCTACATGATAGTCCCAAGCGCTGAGATATTCTTGCCCCACAGAATGCATAAGCAAACACATTTGCAAAGAGGTCCTCCATGGTGTGCTTTGTCTTTTTGTTTAAAAATAGGCCCACTTATTTTAATCCATCCGGATTTTGGAGGTACTTATTATAACAAATACAAACTACATTCCTTTCTGGCTTACAGTTCAATGAAGCCCAGACACCACTGGTTGCTGTATGATGACACGAAGTAGAGGACGGACTTGAAAATGCTATGGTATTGGGAAATAAAGTCTAAAATATTGCCTGAGAGCCTATTATGAGCCAGAGTAGAAAAGAACCATGGCTTCGGGTATTATATAACCTCTCTGAGCTTTAAAGTTTCCATCTATAAAATATGCCTTTGAGTGCTAATTAGTAATCCATATATAATTCACTGCCCAATTAATTTACAGTCAGTGCTGAATAAATGCTGGATATTACTAACGTATTACTGCTTTGTTAAGTCCAACAACAATCTATGAAAGAGAAACTCATCTTGCTACTTCAGAGGTAAGAGGGCTCAAAGACATGAGGTAACGATCAAAGTCTTCAGCTCATAAACGTTCTATTCAGACTTCAAACCCAGGTCTCCTCACTTTAAACTTCACGGCTCTTTCCATGATCTACACTGAGTGCTAAGATTCTAAGAGTTTCAGGACAATGGGAAGTTGAGGGTCTCTTTAGTCTTGAACCCTCCCTTTGTGTCTAAGAGGGACGGAAGGATAACCAATAGGAAAACGGCTGTAGTCATTTCTCAAGAACATCAATTGCCTAGGTTCTTGAAGGATATTCATTCTTCCTGAGGATCTTAATTAAGCTCCAATAATCCTAGAAAATGTCCTCCTTCTATTGCCTGTATTTCCCCAAAGCTCAGACAGAGGAAGAAAGACAGTCATTAGCCAAAGCACACGATGGTGCCTTCATGGTCATCTGTGCCGACATTACCGTTTTCCAGGTTCTCACTGCTTTCATAGCATCCTGAGTCTCGTGGGGAGCACCCGCTCAGGGCCTGGCTGTCAACGAGCAGCTTCTCCTGGGATCCAGACTGGTCGCTGTTACCTGGAGAAGGTGAGCACAAAGCATGGAACCATAAGGGGACTGAAAAGCAGAGTTCCCAAGTCAACCAAATCCCAGTTTTATCCTCAGCCATCACCACGCATACCATACATTTGAAGCCTTGGACTTTTGGATGAACACTAATTACTTTAAAGTCAATGAGATAAAAATGAACGAGATCAGAATATTTTTCTTTTCAAATAAATTATCACATGAAGACAAATTTGGAGATTGAGAGTAGATAGTTGGAGTATGTGGATGCCTTTTAGGTTACCCAGATGATGACTGGCCTGAGGCCAGTCTCGAACAGGAGGAGCCCAGAGCCTTGTGCCAACAGTGAGGGAAGAGTAGTCACAGTCCTTTCCCAGGGATGGTCCCATGGGGCAGAAGTAAAGAGTGAGGATGTCCCTTTCACAGTAGCAGTTGGGCCTATGCTTTTTAGAAATCTCTAAGATTTGTGTTTCAAGTTATTTGTCCCATGCTTTCTAAATTTAGCAGCTATTATAAAAGTGTCAAATGAAATACTGAATTTTGTTACAATTTACAAGCATTCTTTGGCCTTGGTGACATGTGCTGGCCCTTGCATTATCTCAATGAAGCAAGGCAGGCAGAAGGGGACGCAAACCCCTACACCCAGGAGGGGCCAGGGAGAAATCCTTTTGTGTCTGTGGTGAAGACTGAGCTAGAGGGCGTTCTTTCCCTTCTGTCTTCTCCCTTGTGTTGGGTCAGCCTTTCTGCCCAAAGGATGAGGCAGGGAAAGCTCAGGAAGCCCTCTCCCTGGGGCCCTGAGTAATAAATCCTCTGAAGGTGGATGATGAAAGTTGAACGTCCTGATTCTAAAGAAAGGCAGCAGGTGCTTCTGTTGAGTGAAAGTCTGTCTAGAGCAGTGATGGCGAACCTATGACACGCGTGTCAGAGGTCACACGCAAACTCATTTTTTTGGTTGACTTTTCTTTGTTAAATGGCATTTAAATATATAAAATAAATATCAAAAATATACATCTTTGTTTTACTATGGTTGCAAATATCAAAAAATTTCTATATGTGACACGGCACCAGAGTTAAGTTAGGGTTTTTCAAAATGCTGACACGCCGAGCTCAAAAGGTTCGCCATCACTGGACTAGGGTGAGTCCCGTGGAAGTCCCGTGGGCTTCACCAGCCAGCAGTCACTCTGCACGCTGCACAATAAGGGCACATGTGGCCTGACCTGGGATGGAGGTTACACCATGAACCTCTTTTGTTATTACACAGAGTAAGTGCTTGGGCATATAACACAGAAACCAAGGGAACATTTTCTACATAAAAGAACTAGTTGCATGATGAAGGGCTTTATTTTCCCTTCCTTTTCTCGTCACTTGTCCTCCCCTCCTACCACAGACACAGAGAAAGAAAGAAATCAACAGACCAGAAATCTGATGCCCTTTCTCGGGTCATTAAAGAGGTAAACTGTGGGAAGGCAGAGGGCTGCCATCCCACATATATGCCAGCCTCTTCGACGTCCACTTACCACTTCCTGTTTGTGTTACTCACATGGAAAGCTTTTATAACAGCAATCATAGCAGAAATCACAGCAAGGGAAGCCCTTACAATAGACCCCAAATTAAGGAGTGCTATTTTTTAAATAATGAATGAAAAACTAACTAATTGGATGCACAAGAGCAAATCTTACGCCCCCCTTCCCCGCACAAAAAGTGGAACATTCTAGAGTGATGTCCTCATTGTGTGGAAGAGTCTGTGGATTTGGAGAGGTCTCTGTCCTAGCCCAGCGTGTTATTTAGGAAAATGATACTTATAAAATGAGGGCTTTGAGCTCTCAGTTACAACCCAGGAAGAGGAATCAATGTAGTCTGTCCTTGGCAAGACCGTTCGGTTATTGCTTCAGCTAAAACAGACCCCAAAGTGCTGACCAGTGGGAATGGAACAGAAAACTTGTCCCCTGCCACTGCACGAAGACGCAGACTGTGTCTGCTCCCTTGGGGATGGCAGCCTCCTCAGACACAGCAGGGTAGACCGAAGTTATCATGGGGATGGAAGGGGTCGCTCCCATCGCCTGAAAACCAAGTCCATTTGTAGAATCACGATGATCAATATGTCAAGGGGCTGCTGTCACTTGCTTCCTAAAGGATTTAGTCAGCAACTACTGAGCAGAAACCTAACTATCAAGTTTAGCAAAATTCCCTAAAACGAAAAGCCAGAGTTTCCCAAGCAACTTGCCTTCCTCCGTTGGAGAGAAAGAAGAGGTGGGGTACCCCTTACATGTGCAGCAGAATCAAGGCCATATCCTCTCCCTGCAGTTTCTATCATTAATTTCAAGGTACAAAGAGGAAAAGAGGTGTGTTAGAACCATGAGAATTCTCACAGTCAAACAAGAGGGGAGGACTACACTGTTGGGCTGACTTCTGAACTTGCCTCTGAAGGGACTTAGCTGGAGCTAAAACTCTTCCCCACTCCTACCCCCACCCCCACCTTCGACACACACACACACACACACACACACACACACACACACACACCACAAACACAAATATAAACATACACACAGAAGGAGGAAGAATATGCTGACACTGATGAGTATCCAAACATCAGAAGGTTCTTGTGCACAAGGACATGAGCCATTTCCTGGAGAGCAGTTATCGCCGAAAGAAGAAGGGAAGGGAAGGGAGTTCTTGGATAGCAGGCCTTTCAATGGGCTTGTACTGTTTATTTCTTTAAAAGAAAAGAATCGGAGCAAAAATGTTCACTTAACTTGGACTTAGAAGGTGGATATGTGGATCTGTTTTACTTTTCTCTGTACCTTTCTGCATATTTGAAATAACGGCTCATTCAAATTCTTACAGAAATTATTTTCGTAAAGAGAGCTTTCATTGGGCAGACCTGGGACAGTGGGAGCACTGTAGGCAATTGCTTTTGGACAATGAGAGTCTTTTCCAAATGGAACCCTGTAGGAAGGCTGGCATTGACCAGGCATGGTGCAACAAGGCAGGTTGGTAGATGAGCTTTTTGCCACTGTGGAAGCTGAGCTAGAAACTTGCAAGATCTCTAAGACCTCAGTATAGCTCTCTATCTGTCCAGTGATTAGGAATTTAGTTTGACATATATCTACTGTGTTCCTCTAATGGTCAGTTGCTTAGAATATTTCTTAAACACAGAATTTAACTGCACTGAATGTAAAACCTTATCATCTGGACCCAGAGCCTTGTCACTAATTAGCACCCCGAGTCCTGGAAGCCTTGTCTTAGAGCCAATAAAAGGAAGTGCTGCTTTATGCACTAGGACCGTGGTCAGCAAACCGTGGCTCGCGAGCCACATGCAGCTCTTTGGCCTCTTTTGAGTGGCCACGAAGTTTCAATCGCACTGTATGTGCGCGCCTGCATGTGCTATTTTGTGGAAGAGCCACACTCAAGGGGCCGCAGTTTGCTGACCACTGCACTAGGAATGTTATAAATAGAGGCATAGCATACCTTTGAAATGGGATTTGTGAAGCGGCAAAGAGCCCTCCCTGGACCTCTGAGTGAGCATCATGATTGGCCAAGATTCCCCCTTACAAAATACCTCCTATGCAAATCTCAGGCTGGGGTTCCGAGAAGGACAAGGTGTCTGAGCCAATGAGATACAACAGAGACTCAGCTCAGATCCTGCCTTCTACTCCTTTTTTAACATTGCTTCCCCTGTTCTGAATGGTAAAGGACAGGGTTTATAAACCAGCTGTTCTCAGCAACTGAGCTATTTTATAGAGCAGATGTGGTCCAGGAGACTAGATGATTTAACCTTAATTGTTATTAATATAGCTGGTTGGCCACACCAGGCACTAGGCCAGGCTCTTTAACACAACCTGGCCACAGATCCCCCAATAGACACCTCCAATACTGAAGAGACATGGTTTTAAAGTGATATTCACTACAAAACACTATTCCCTCCAAACCTATCCCTGAAGGCAGTGTGTCTATCTAGAGTTCAGACAGCTACTTGATGGCGTGTGGCCCCCTGTATCAGCTGGTGTAGAGGAGGGGCCTCCTACGCAGAAGTGAGAGCAACTGAGCGGAGACACGTGCTTCCTTGTCTCTGGGGCCTGACGCCTTCAGTAATGGACAATTTTCTCTTCCACCATTAACCATGGTTTGGTGTGTCTTAACAACAGAAATGCTATTAGCTACTGACATCCCTAAGCAAAGCATTTGAAAGAAAATGCACTGGAATTCAGTAACTGGAAAGGATGCTCTGCTTGTGATGAATAATTTCAGGACTATTTTTGATGTCAGATTGAAGAATAAAGAGCGAGATAAGACTAGCTTAATGGAGCAAAGGATACAGTGTATTTAAACAGACTTCATAAAGGCTGCCAGCCCGCTGAGTTCTGTTCACAGGCTGTAAAAATGAGCTATCATTTTGGCCGAGACCCTGCGATACGGGATTCTCTGCTCTACTAGTATGTATTCACTACAGCCACTTCCTGCCTCTTTCACGGAAGCTGATGAATTTCATTTATTCATTAGACAACCTATTCAGCAAGAAAATAACTCCTTGTGTGCTCTGAGAAGTAATTAAGCCTTGGCGGGGCAACATTCTCCCCATCTGCCAATCACTTTTGGGCCCAAGTTTCCCACCGACCTGCTGAAACCACACCTCCCAACAGTTCCTAACGCGACATCTACTGCATTTCTTAACAAAGCTGTGATTCAATTCCCAGTCACTTAGAGCAGCATTTTCCCCAACTGGTACCTAGAATCGTGCCAGAAAAGACATCAGCAGTAAGGTTATCTTTTGCTCCCATAGGAAGGTCTGCACTGGGAACTTATGTCTTTGTGTTTTTGATATAATACGAAATGGGCTTTGGCTTTGGAAAGAGTAGGACCAAATGAGTGACTCCAGGGACCTAAGAATATGCTGGCTGCTAACGGGAGGCCTCTGGTGACTGAGTGCCATAATGTAACAAGGAACACTTCTGCGTGGGTGGTGGTGGGGGTGCGGGGGCGGGGACTTACTGTCATACTCCTGCAGCAGCTCCACCGCTGTCAGGAGAACGGCTCTGTGTTCTGGGTCCCTGATATTTAACTCATCCAAGTCCTCTTCCTCCAGGAGCTTAAAGGTGTCCAGATCCTCATATCCATTGAACAGGAAGGTGGGCATGTGCTCCTGTGAGGAAAGAACACAGAAGTGGGTCAGCAGGCTCAGCCATGTGATCCATGACCGCCAACCAGCCTCAAACCCCTAAACTTTTCCCATTGCTGTGGTTATACTAATTGAAAGAGTAGTATCACTTGTAAGCTCCCAGTCCTCTGGCTTGGTAGGCAGGTGGGGCGTTTCAGTGATCATGGGTTAAGAAGACCTGCACTGCAGGCTGAGATGGGTTCTCCTGGCTTACATTTTAATTGTCCCCTTGCTATGGACCGATCTCTTTAACACCGCACAGTGCACAGTGGACAAGGCCATTTCATTTACAGGCCTATTGAAATCCAACTCAGAAAGGCCTGTGACTTCCCCAGAAACAAGGCAGTTTTGCAAGGAGGAAAGAGAACTAGCACTGTAGCCCCCCGCCCCCCACCCCTCCAGATGCTGGGAATGATGTGGGAGAGGTTAGAGGAGCGAACACTCAGGGCCTCTGTGAAGCCCACGGAGCAGAGACCTAAGGCTTGTGCTCACTGCCCTTCCTGGTAGAAGTAGCTTCAAGCCCAGAGCATTTTAAAAACTGCTCTTGGGGGACTAATAGCAAATTCTGACCTGCGGCTTAGCTAACACCCACGACAGAGGTCAAGGGCAGCATTAGCATACAGACAACCGTTTTTTGTAGAATAATGGCTACTCATCACAGTATTAGGCCACCCTTATGGAGGACATGAGAGCACCCTCGCCCCTCCCCTGCAAGTGTCCTCGCTTGCTTAGTTTAGAAGGAGAGGCAACATGTGACCAGAACAGGACGGGACTGACCTTCAGGTTAATCCGGTCAAGGAGATCCTCCACGGACTTGGGCTGGGGTGGTCTTCCTTTTCTCTTCCTCCTGGTGGGGCGCTTGGGCTTCTCCTCTTCCTCGTTCAGCACGTCCACGTAGATGAACTTGAAGGTGCCCACCTTGTTGTTCAACAGGCCCATCCAGGTGCCCATGGGTGGTTTGCTGATTATATCGATGATGTCTCCTTTCTGGGGCCCAGGAAACAAAGGTCTTTCCATTAGGCACATTTCTAAGCAGGAATCATGAATCGATGATATGTATTCATCACCCACATGTGGAAACACTACGAAGGCCAGAATCAGGGTCCCACAAGTCACATTATGAATGGGAGCTTGGGAGAGGGCCAGACGGAACACTCCTGACCGCGCTGGAATCCACACGGGCTGGAGGTCTCGTTCCCCCGCCCTCCCGCAGCACAGGCTGAAGTGTCTGTCTCCCAGTGCTCATGGCTAGGTGGGAGGTGCCTGGCTCTCTGACTGCCTAGCCACCATCCAGAGCTCCTACTGCTTAGAGAAAGAATTTCCCCCAAAATGCCAGTGGCAATCCCTGCTCTGTGACTGCCTCCTACACTGTGGAACTCCATCTGTCCCATTCAATACCACCAGCCATACAGAGAAGGCAGGAAGGTCTCTTTAGCGAGAGAGCACAGAAACTGGATCCTGGAGGGCAACAGGAATTCTACAGGGAAGCTGAGGTCGGGGGTCTGGACCAGGAGGATGAGGTGGTGAGGACAGAGGATTAACAGAAGCTCCGCCTCTGTCCCAAATGCTGGCTGGTTCTGTTTTGTTATTCACTACAGAGGAGAGCAGCTTGTTAAGGTAGCCAAGACATTGGCCACTATGACCACAGCAGCCAAGCATTCTACACAAGAACTGAGCTCCTCTTAAAGACCCCAGGTCTAAGGACAGACAGAGACACACCTTGAGCTTGAGTGAGTCTGTGTCATAGGGACTGGGTGTGAAGTCAGTGTGCACCCTGGCGCGCCCACAGAAGGGGCCCCGGTAGGGGAGCTCCTCATCATCACCGTCTTCCGACTTGACACTTTCCCTGTTGCTGGTGGAGGAATCAGTGGTACTCACTGTCTGACCACCTGTACAGGAAACACAGGGAGAAGAAGGATAAATACAGTTGCCCTGCAGAGCAAAGCTTAAAGACACTGAAGAAGCTGCAGGTTAAGACACAAAGGGCAAAATCATGAGCCAAAATCATGTCAGGACCAGAGCAGGACCCAATGATGAGGCCAGGGAAGATCTGCGTTTTCTCAGTGCTACCCCTAATCAAGCCCTAACTGCACAGGCAGGACTCCAGCAAGTTATCTTTATGATCTGGGAATGCAGGTGACATCACAAGCCCAGAACATTCAGGACCTCTCCTTGGTAAGGCATAACATTTTTACTTCATCTTATGGATGAGGAAACAAACTCAGAAATGTCAAGTAACTTGCCCAAGGCCAAGTGCTTTTAAAGTGGTGGACTTAAATATGCTCCCTTTCCTCACACCATTCTGACGACACCACCACTGTCAGAGTGGTTGACCAACATTTATTGTCGGTGACATTTATAATCCTCCACCCTGCCCCCATCTCTTACTTTGTTGATGAATACATCTTCATGACCTTGGGGACTTGACTTATCCTCCTTCACTCTCCCGATCTTTCCTCTGAGATGCTTTCCCTATCTTCTCTGATCGAAATTCATCATCCCCTCTCTTGTGCCACTGCTGTACATCGACTAAACAAATACAATTCTAGGTCCAGATATTTGGCAGGTCTCTCTCTCTAACAGCACCCTAAGGGTAGGAACCTGGGCTTCTTTATCTTTAAATTGCTTGAACCTGACACCTAGTAAGTCTGATTTTGATTCCAAAGGAAATCATCTACAATTATAAAGTAGGCGTACTCATCGAGCTCTGTCCACTCAGAGAACTCCGCAGGCTCTCTACAGAACCTCCGGCTTTGAGCTTGGGCTTGTCCATGTGTTCACTGTCAGGCTGGGAGGATGGAGGAGAGCCAGGCATTCCATCGAGGCCCGTGTCCTGCAATGGATTTCAACACAATTATGTTTCATCAGAAAGGACAACTGTTATTTTGTAATTCAAAGCAATTCAGCCCTCAACTAAAACAATCAAATCCATTTTTATGCCCATATTTGATGCCATAGCCAGTATTCTCCTCCTTCTTAATCTATATCCTTGCTCCATTTAAAAGTGTGGCCTGTGTATCAATTAAGCACTTAAAAATTGTTTCTCATGCTCAATAGAAATTCTTGAAATCTCTGAGAAATACCTATCTACCTCCTAGAGAAAATCCTTTGTTAAAGGTTTAGAGACTCAGCATACTCAACAGTCCAGTAAAGAAGCCGGATTTCAAATGCAGATCAAACAGAATCCATTAGCAATGTAGTATCTGGGATCACTCCCAGGGAATAAATCATCTATTTGAAGGGAAACATTTACAGTAAATATATGCATATTCCTTCTTTTTTTTTTTTTTTTTAAAAAAAGGGCCAGATTCGTATGCTTCTAGTTACACAAATTAATGAAATGGGCTAAGAAAATACCAACTGAGGACCCAGACATATAGCAAAAATACAATTTTTCGGCCCAGCCAGTGTGGTTCAGTGGTTGAGCATCAACCTATGAACCAGGAGGTCATGGTTTGATTCCCAGTCAGGGCACATGTCTAGATTGCAAGCTCGATCCCTAATAGGGGATGTGCAGGAGGCAGCCAATCAATTATTCCCTCACATCATTGATGTTTCTATCTCTCCCTCTCCCTCTCTGAAATCAATAAAAAAAGTATTTTTTTAATTACCATTTTTCAGTCTATGATGAAATGTCTATAGGTTTAGTTAGTATCGGTTGTCCCCAGGTTTTAATACCTATCACTCCTCTTTTGTGTTGTTAGTGAAAACCTGCGACGACCCTTTCAGATCACTTCTGGGATGGCTCTGTCACAGACTGGGGGCCCCTCCTTTGCACATATGAGTGTAGCACGCTCATTTGATTCCTGGTGTGACAATGTCTCTCCTCTAAAGTTTGCAGTGAGAATGGTTTACTTGCCACAACAGAAACCTCTCTGGCATATCACACAGCCATGTGAGCACCAAACCATCTAAACAAAACCTGTTATTTGCATGGTGCCGAATCATCAGAAGAGCTTCATTTAAGGTCAACAAACAGCCATGGCAGCTTCTGATCCAAGACACACTGTGCTTTACATTTAAGAAAAGGGAGCAGATGGCCTCAAAAACTATAAAAAGAGGTGCCATTATTTGGGAGTTATTGAAGCTACAAAGTATGAATTCCTGAATATATTTTTTAAATGTTTTTATTGATTTGGGAAAAAGAGGAAGGGGGGAGGGAGGGAAGAAGGAAGAGGGAGAGGGAGAGGGGGAGGGGGAGAGGGAGAGGGAGGGAGAGAGGGAGGGGGAGAGGGAGAGGGAGGGGGGAAAGGGTGAGGGAGGGGGAGAGGGAGAGGGAGAGGGAGAGGGAGAGGGAGAGGGAGGGGAAGAGGGAGAGGGAGAGGGAGGGGGAGAGGGAGAGAGATAAAGAGAGAGAGCGAGAGAGCCCCCACCCCGGATTGAGCTGGAAACCAGGCATGTGCCCTGACAGGGAATTGAACTGGTGACCTTTTGGTGCACAGGATGATGCTCAACCAACGGAGCCACACCAGCCAGGCCTGAATGTATTTTCATTTCAAATCATAAAATAAGACATCCAATTCTTTTTTAACGCTTCTGCTAAAAGTACATGTGGTTTGGGGGGTTTTTAAACAATAGTGATATTAAATATACCTCTCTAATATTGTATGTTCCTAAATGCATTAAAATAGTATTAATTTACTTATTATATACTTAGGGACTCCCTATAAGAACAGGTAGTATTCCAGGTAATGGGCATATAGCAGACAAAAGTCCTAACCAGAATGGGTGGTATATCAAACCTTGCAACATTCATCTTCTCTCCCCAAAAAGCATTATAATAGCCATTTATTCCTTCTCTTTTTTTTTCACTTATGTGAAATGACTGTTTAAAAACAAAACAACGACAACAAAAACCAGAGAACTAAGACTACAAGGTGGGTGTATAGTCGTAAAATTATAGAAAAAAAAAATGTTCAAATGACATTAAAGTTCTGTGCTCAAGCAGAAAACCCCTATGAATGTGAAATTTACACGAGCTCTTAGGGAAAAAGCCAACGAAATGAAGTGCTGCAAACTAGAGGTACTGTTTCCCTGGCATAGCATCTGCTTCCCAGGAGAGCGAGGTGTACTTCATTTCTGGTGAGAAATTCAGAATCACCATCACTCTCATACCCAAGGGCCAAGAAATGCAAAGAATACAGAAAACAACGGTAGGGAACACACAATGGAGGCAGCGACTTCTCCTGCAGGTCTGAGAAGCCAGGGTTTCTCAACCTGAGCGCTGTCAGCAGAATAATTCCTGTTGTGGGGTGCTGTACTGTACATTAGTGGGGGTGCTATCCTGCGCATCCTAAGATGCCTTCCTGGCCTCTATCCAGTGGATGTCAGTAGCACCCACCCCACCCCACCCCACCCCAGTTGTGATTGTCTAAATGCCCTGGGGTTGGTGGGGGAGCAAAATCACCCCACCCCTGTGAGAACCACTGCAGTCAACTGAAGCTCTTGGGCAGGCCTTTCGTGAATCACTAGGTGGCTGGGCTGCCTAGCTGGTATTCAGCGATTCAAACAAGGAGCTGCTTGGATTTTAGCTTACTCTGCCCACCAGAGGGCAGCAGCTGAGTCCACATGTCTGCTTCCCCATAAATCAGCATTACCTACATATTTCAACTAGAAAACCGGCAGACACTAAAAATGTTCAACAGTCTACAAGAACGAATGCTATAGAGGTGCCAGAGGTGAGGGCTCTGAAAATCAAAGGGCCAGAATTACCTGAAGGCCCAGCTCTCCACCCGTCTTTCTTCCCTCCACCCACATAAAATAGAAACTGTCTTTCTAGCGATGGGATTACAGAATTGGAGGGGATCAGTTCTGAGTTATCTTAAAAGCTGAAGAGGGAGCCAGTGAGTAAAAACATCCCTGTGGAGACATGATTACTACGGAAGCCCACTGCCAGGAAGCGTTTTCCGAGTTTCCTTCTCAGACTTGCTGTGTGCTTCTACAACTCATGCTACACCGGAAAGGTCTGCTGCCTAAGAAAACTTGAGTGTCTTTTTTTTAAGGTTTGATTCTAGGGACATCCATTTTGTAGCAAGGGATTTATTTTAGAAAATAAAATCTTTTGGTTTTAAACTTGTGCCCTTACTGCACTAAAGAACACATTTTTTACATGTCTGCCTCTCCGCCCATCTGTACATAGAAAGTAAGGCCTGCACTTTGTATTCCCAGCACCAAGCATGGTGCTGGGATGACCCTAAATGCTTAATCCATGTTTGCTGTACCAAATGCTCGTCTACATAAACTAAGCATGGTCCTGAGCCAGGTTAATGCCAATGAATGTCTGTATTTAGCACCGTTTAAAATCTCAGGCTGACATCCTCGGCTTTCCTTGTGTCAGGAGGAAACAGGGGGACTTTTCGCTTGGCACCTGCATACCTGTTCAGGGACAGAGTTGCTGTATTTTTTGGACATTCTCTTCCTCATTGTCTCTTTCACGGATTTGACCTTTTTTCCAAGAGAGATGCGGGAGGCGGTAGGTGATTTGATGACTTCCTTGTACACAAAATCTCCTTCTTTACCCTGCAAAACAAAATAAGTACCATTAATCACAGGAAACAAAGCCCCCAAACAGGTTTTATTATCGAAACCATTAATGTTCTATGTCTCAGAAAAATCCTGGCATCCCTTAGGATTTTGAAATGTTTCCTGTTAACCGAGTGCTAGGCAATTAATCATCTTTTAACTTTTTTTGTATGTTTTTTCAACTTGTTTTATTTTTCAATTACAGTTGACGTTCAATATTGTTTTTTATTAGTTTCAGGTGTATGCTATTTATCTTTTTGATTAAAAATTAAAAGCGATTCACTAAGGGCTTTTGTTTGTTTAAAGTGGGATGTGAAATACATTTTATTTTATTTAATCTTAGGACATTTCCTCCCCTAGTATACTCCTCCCCTCCCCAAGTGAAATACTCAAGGGAACTGCATTTCATCAATAAAGTGACTGAGATGAACCAAGGTTCGAATCATCCCAGCAGTGGGGGAGAAGAGAAAGCCAGTATTACTGAGCACCTAGGACAGAGGTGAGAACAAAATGGGACATCTCAGTCATCACAAGTCAACACCTGATCAGGTTGCATCAGGGTGGCCCTCGGTGTGGTCGGCTCCTAAGTGCGTGAATTTCCTTTTCTCAAACAATTACACAGTGGACACCTCTTGTCTTACTTTTCACTGAAACAGAAAACAGCTTTTCCTGGAAAGTCAGAGAAAGCACACTTTCTCCCATTTTTTAGAAGACTGACTATGTAACATTTATAAATCCATAAAATTTGATGTCCAAATAAAATAGTTTTATTCTTCCAGGAAATTCTCAAATACTTCCAAAATCACAGACGGGTGTTTTTTAGGGGACATTTGACAATATAAAGCAGTTTCCTGACAAAATGCACGGAAAACAAAACTGTATGCAGAGCTCACCTGCGCCCCCGGGGCCTTCCCAAGGAAACAAGGGGAGAACGTGTACAGCACAGTGGCGACCTGTCCCCACACTGGGGTCCAGAAGAAGCGGGTCGGAGGAGCCAGTAAGCTCAGCCCACGGAAGACTGGTTTGCTTTGGCCCCAAGGAGACAGGGTTCATTCCAGGACACCCCAGATCAGAAAGACCTAGGCTTAATATGGGGCTATGAACTTGGCCTCTGATAAAACTGGTTTATAGAAATGTTGGCAAATGCTCTTGAATGCAAATCACAGGCTCCATCCTCTGGCCCTGCCTGTGTGTAGCAGCCATGTGCACTTACAGCCGGCGTGAGCAAAAACTAGTGTGAGACCAAGAGGCCAGATGCATCTGGATTTGTGACTTGGAGGAAACTGGTAACACAGGCGCTGAAGGAATGGTGCTACAACAGAGAGGGATGGAGGCCGGAGGTGGTTGTGGTTTGTTCCCGTGGAAAAGAGAAGTATCTCTAAGGGAAGGGGAATGGGGAGCAAGTAGGTGAAGGGATTAAGTAGGTGAAAAAGGTGAAGGGATTAAGCAAAGAAGAAGAAAAAACCTCATAGACATGGAAAACAGTATGGTGATTACCAGAGGGAAAGGGGGGTGGGAGAGATAGAAGAGGGAACGGGGGGGGGGGATAACTGGTGATGGAAGACTTGATTTGAGGAGGTGAACACATAATACAATACAGATGATGTATTAGAGAATTGTACACCTGACATCTATATAATTTTATTAAGCAATGTCACCCCAATAAATCCAATTAAAATATTTTTTAAACATGGGTGAAATAGGGCTTCTTTTCAAAGGATTTAGGATCACCCAAGGAAAGATTACCCAGCACCAATTCTCAGAGACTAGACGTGAAACTCTGTCAACCACGTCGCTTGGATCCGAACCTTTTGTGTTCCCGCTGATGCGTACTCACCATCGGGTAAGAGTTATTACTGCCGATGTGCAGAGAGCGATTAGTCAAGTCAAATCCTCCAAAACTGCAGGTTCTCTGCGGAAAGGGGAGGGCAGGACAGTTAGGCTGCAGCTGGCCAGCGGTGTACCAACCCAACGCATTTCCCACTGGCAGGACATCACCGAATCACAAATACGTTACAGGATGGAAGTAGGACGAGAAATGATGAGGAAAAAAAATACATGATTCATGTTACAAGGAAACTTGCCACTGGAACTGTGCCTACACCAGAGGTCCAGAATCCCCTAAACATGCAAAAACCCACTGGTTAAAAAACTCATAACCAAAAACCATCCATGTTTCCCTGCCTCTTAGCAACAGACTTCCCCTTCCAGCCCCCTTAACATCAGCTGCATACAGTAGTGACAATGAGGGAATCCATGTGCTCAGAGGGGTCTTGGAAACTCAGGTCCAAAACCCTATGGCTCTGCCCCTGACAGCAGGCTTTCCTAACAGACTCTTTTGTTTAGTTTTAAATTGCTAAGAAGGGGGAAACCAGGTTATGTTTACAGTAGTCCAATCAGGCCAAGAGGGTTACTCACTCATTGCTTTCCTGAGCTAGCCAAAGATGCTGGTAACTTTCCCATCTAACTGACCAACTTCATCAATTATGACTCCTTTTTTTCTGAGTGTAGAAAGATGCCACATTTGCCGAGGAAGAAAAAAGTTGATTCAGTGACTGTCTGACGGCACTCTAATTTAATGGGGAATTAGCAATGTTATGAAGAATAAAAACTTTAACGTTCTTTCGGTTGGTTTCAAACTTTACGGAACTGCATATATTTCAGCGATTTTTATATTTCCATACTTGGTTTGAATTTTCCTTTTGTTTTTCTAGCAAAAGCTACTCAAGGACCATTTCCATGCCCCCCCCCCCCCACCCCCCAATCAAAAAAAATCTGTAAGAGAAAAGAGAAACTTAAAGCTCACTAATTCTTCTTACAACTGATTTTCTTGTTTTTTAAGCAACTGGTTATAAAAGTTGAATAGCGAATTTGGGCTCCATAATTTGTACAATCTGTTTCTCAGTGAACTCTAGTTAACAGATATTAAATAGAAGAAATGAACGCACAGCACAATGTATATTATAGACACTGCTTATTTAAAATAAATGTACTAGCCCTCGCTGGTTTGGCTCAGTGGATAGAGCATCAGCCTGTGGACTGAAGGGTCCCGGGTTCGAACCCGGTCAAGGGCACATGCCCAGGTTGCAGGCTTGATCTCCAGGAGGGGGCATGCAGGAGGCAGCCGATCAATGATTCTCTCTTATCACTGATATTTCTATCTCTCTCTCCCCCTCTCCCTTCCTCTCTGAAATCAATAAAAATATATCTAAAAAATAAATACATAAAATAAATGTACTTTAGACATATATTGACTAAGTGAATTGATAAAGAAACATCCAGAAGGAAAATGCTTAGGTTTTTGGAATCAAACGGATGTGGATCCAAATCCTGGTTCTGCCACTTATTTGCTGCATGACCATCGGTAAAATATTTCAACTCTCTGAGCTCTGGTTTCTTCATCTGTGAAATACTACCTGCAGCATATATTTGAAGACCTCTAGCACACTATCTGACACAAATCAGGGGTCTCTAAGAATGTTGGTTTCTGACATTACTTCTCTCTAGGACAGTGATGGCGAACCTTTTGAGCTCAGCGTGTCAGCATTTTGAAAAACCCTAACTTAACTCTGGTGCCGTGTCACATATAGAAATTTTTTGATATTTGCAACCATAGTAAAACAAAGATGTATATTTTTGATATTTATTTTATATATTTAAATGCCATTTAACAAAGAAAAACCAACCAAAAACATGAGTTCACGTGTCACCTCTGACACGTGTGTCATAGGTTCACCATCACTGGTCTAGGACTACACTGAGAAATGTGCCTTGTCCCAACAATTGTTATTTTGAAGCTTAGGCTCAGGCAACATTCTAAATATGCAAATGAAAGACTAGAACTTAGTTCTATGCCGTATATTCCGGGAGCTTCAACTGTAAAACCAGAGCATCCCAGGAATGGGTCAAAAAGAGAGACAGCAGGTGTGGCAGGAGGGAGGCCAGGAGATGCAGGTGTCATGGGAGGCATTTCGGGGTCACCAACATTCGGGATGTCACAACCGTTCTCCTTCACCACAGCTGTTGTTGCTGTTTTAAAGGACCTACCACAGACATGACATCCAGTGAACATTATTTTTATTTTATATTAAGTATCGATGGACAATCTGACTTGCCCTTATAACCAACTTAACTAGACCTCTATCTATTCTATAAAAACAGAAACCTTTTTATGCAAAAACACCAAATCCCCTCATCTGGAGAGTGGTGTTAGGAACACCTCTCCAGGCTAATTTTTAATATGAACTTCCCTTTCTAGTTTATAATGCCCAATAGATTTTCTCATTTTTGTCAAGACAATCATTTGATTGTGGCTCGTTTCCTGTGAGTCAGGGCTCACAGACACAGCATGGCACCCAGATGCCTGCTCGGTTTATGGCTCGGCACTTCCCTGCTTTGCATTCCAGCTTCAACTGCAAGGCTGGAGCCCAGCACGCTATTTCTGATGCATGGGAACTAACTGACAAAGCACTTATGTGGAAATATAGCTGCAATAAATCAGAAGCTCGTTTATATCCTCGCATGCCTGCTGTATGCATTTATTCCTAAAATAAAAAGCTCCAAGAGTGAACTGGCTTTTTGAAGCACCAAGTAACCCTCTCCCTGTGATATGCTCATGTCTGGGAAAGATTCCTCTGTATCATTGTGGAAGCACAAAAACTGGAACAACGAACGCTGCTTGAACTCATCTCTACTCTTTCGGTAACAGCAAGTAGATCTCAAAGCATCACCACCCCTTCAACTGAGAAAAGAGCTTTAGAGAGAACAGTGAAATCTCCGGCTTTGGTGGTCTCCACGGATGTAGCCTCAATGAGGTTTGTCAAGGGCATACTTCTCACGTCCAGGTAACTGTAAGACTTTAGATAGATGCTCGTGGATGGGGAGAGCTGGCAATGGAATGGTCATGCAGCTGAGAACATGTTTTTGGGGGGAGGTAGGGTTGAATTTTTAAAATGGACAAAATTCCAAAATGTCATGCATGTTTGTTTCACCAAACAAAAATTGAATGACCAAATAAAAAGCAAGACAAGTGACCATTTTCAGTGAATACAAAGCATTATCATTTCCTTGAGGTTTCATCAAGCAAATATGGTATTGTTTTTGAAAGATAAAAAAGATCAAGGTTGAAGATTAAAGGAAACTGCACTTTTGGATAAAATGAAGCAGATATATGCCAAAAAGAATAGAAAGAACTTTTAAGTAAAGCAAGCAAAGAAATTGTCTGTCTTTAAAAAAAAGGAAAAAACAAAACAAACACCTCTTTTTGAGGTTTAACATTATTTGCCCCCATAGTCTCTGAATAGTTAGAAAAATTTTGTTTTCCTGATTGTACAACTATACTTAGAATAAAAGGCATGTGCAAATTTCTAATTTAGCGTAGAACATATACTTCCACAAGTATTAATACTGCCCACTACTGCAAGTTCATAGTACCTTAAAAACCCAGCCTCAGGCTGACACTTGGAATAGAGATTACATAGTGCCACCTTTACAGGGGAAAAAAATGCTCTCATGTCCACACCCAAAGTCAAGGAAGACTCAATCACTGTCCCACAGTGTTAATTAGCACTAATCTTAGAAAAATAACTTCTGGACAGGAAAACTGATAAAGTTCGATCATTAACCTGGCAATAAACAATATGAGGGGCAATGAACAGATCAAAGTGCTCAGTGTGAAAAAATTCTCACTATTACATGATTTAAACTCACAGAGCTGAGTCATCCACTAACAAAGAGGTGACTCTGTCCATCAAGGTCCTGTCCAATGGCAGAGAGGCCCATAAACTGGGCAGAACACTTCCAGAGGTAAAAAGTAAATTATACCAAGATTGGTTAGCCACAAGTATTTTACAAAATACCTGTGGGTCAGAACTGAGTGAGTGAGAAAAGGAATTGTGTTATTTTACAACTAAACAGAACCACTGATAATTGTTGCCATGATGTTAAAAGAACCAGAAGTTGCCACTAATAGTATTAAAAGGTTTGCAAGACTGATAGGAATGTGAAAAGATGGAAAATTAGACCTAGCAAGAAGGTCAGCATGTACAGGAATATTTGGAAAATATAAGGGGTAAGGATCTAAGGAATTTTTAGGAGAAGGTCATCTTTAGGGGATGGCACTGGCCAACCAGCCTCCATGACCACAAAAGGAGAAGGTAATTGAAGGATTTAAATCACAGTAATCATCTGAGGAAGATCACCTTACTCGGGAATGTGAACACACCCTGGAGAAAGCCCCCCGAAAGGCTGCCGTATAGTCCACTCCTTTAGACCTTTAAAGGGACACAGCCGGCAGTCCCGAGGGAAGGAAGCAGGACAAGGGGACAGCAGGGCCAGGAAGCCACAACTCCTCCTCCGTCTGTGCACTGTATATGGGCTACTGTGCAAACTAGAAATTGGGTGGGAATTTCGGGGCAGGGGGGTATCTATAGTCTCAAGTTCAAAATAAGTCATGCCCTGAAAATAAACTTTACAAAAGTCCAATCATTCAGTAATAAAACTGAAAAATGCTTTATTATTTGAAAAGAAGCACTTCATTCCTTGCTATGTACAGAAGAATGGAGCAGTGGAGGACATTTTAAAATAGTTGTTCCTTTGATTAAAAAGCTAAGAACGCCAACTTGACTTAACTAAAAAGAACTCTAATTCTTTTCCCTTTTGATTTAAGAATTTTCCATTTGTTTCTACTGATAAAAGAAATATACTTGACAACGTTTCCAAATCACCAAATTGGTGATTGGGATGATGGCGATCTTTCCATGAGCTAGTTGCCATTGTTTTAATTAACTAAAACAATAAGCCTCTCTTTTAAGGGCAAAATACCCTCTGTTTTGAATCAGCTTCTTTGAGGTCAAGTGACGTGATGGCTGGGAACGAAGACAGCCACCCTCGAAGGAGGCCAAACCCCACCCCGGGACTCTGGGAGCCCTTCTCTGGATCAGGAAAGAGGACACGTGGGAAGTAGGGCTGGAAATCTGAGATGATGATGGAACGGGCCCTGAAGTTAGGAAGTTATGAGCAGAAGAGAGGGGAGGACGCCAAGCTCCACAGAAGAGAGGCCATAATGCTTGACTACACCTCACGGAAATGACAAGGCCATCCTGGGGACCCTCCGGGAGACTCACGGACTTCTGGTGGATTCTCAAGAGAACCCTCTTAGTACAGCGGTCGACCGTGGCGGCCCACTTCCTCTTTGCCTCCTCCTCCTCCTCCAGCAGGCACCGCCTCAGGTCCTGCTTCTCAGCCTTGCTCAGGGTCCTGTCTGAGGCAGGGCGCACTAGCTGGGTCAGGTTCAGGTGGCTGTACAGGCTCCGCTCCACCACGTAGGTGATATTGAACTCGCTGACCGCGGGGCGCCCGCGCCCCCTCCTGCCGGGGACGCCACAGCTCCCTCCCCCTTTGGGTCTCTGCCGCAGCAGCTGCAGGTCACAGGGCGTGCTGTGCACTCCTTTTCTGGAGGGACGCTGGCAGAGAAAAGCTCGGGAACAGGAGTAATTAGTATCTGTCTTCTTCAGGCGGATGTGCTTCCGGACGCTCTGAACCTCCTCCAGGGACACTAGCAGGTGGTGCCTGCGACGGTGGCTGTCACAGAAGCACACGCCATCGGTACTTACCCCGTGGCTCAGGGACCCCAGGCTCTTCTTCATCTCCCCCTCGGTCAGGGAGCGGGAGACCTTCTGGGCCTTTTCTTCATCCGGGTAGGAGAAGAACGTCCCCATCTTCTTGGGGGGCTTAATGAGGCCCCGGCTGTCGCCTTTGCTGAAGGTTTTGACCAACTTCCGGCCCGCGGCCCAGGCTTCCAGGTTGCTGGGTGATGGAGAAGTGGTGAAAGGGTCTGAGTCATCTTCTGGAGGCTTCTCAGGGGAGCCATCAAACAAGAAGGGCTTCTTGTGCACGCCAGAGTACAGGGCGGCCCGCTCATCCAGGGCCGGGGGACTCTCAAACACAGGCTCCTCCCCACCTGCAGAGGGGGCAACAGATACGGTCAGGGCCTGCACACACATGCCTTTGGGTCGTCCCCCCACCCAGACCTTTCTTTACGCACCCCCACCCTGCATAAGGTAAGCTCGTCGGTGTGAAACCACAGGGATTCCCTCCCTGTCTCACTCACCCTCTTCATATACCGGGCTCCCGCTTAAATAACAGCATGTAAAAAAGGAAAACCAAACTGTGCCAACGTAGGGCTTCACACAAGCTTGGTGTTAAAAGGTTTTGGATGTGTTTTTTCTCCTTCTTTAAATATCTTTGAAGACCAGACGCCTTAACAGACCTATTAAAAGTGCCATTTGGGAAATCTAAGCCAGTCATTTCCACAGTATCCCTCAGCACTTGCAGTAAGTAGCCTCCCCAGCTGGTTATGTGCAACAATCTCAGAAGCTGGAATGAGACCCTTTCCCTCCTGAAAGGCTGTCTGGTTGCCTTTTCATACTCAGATTGTGGTGAATGCCATGTGGCAGACGGCGATGTTTTACTGGCACATGTGCCATTTCAGTGATTAACTCTCCAAGGGAGTCCAGCTGTGGAAACACCACCACATAGGGGTGTACCTTGCGAATGCAACAGACAAATGGTCCCCAGTTGACAGGACAAACACAAGAAGTTAGGGAACAGAGTGACCCCAGCCAGAGTGTCCCATCAACTCGGCACTGCTAGAAGCAGCAGCGGCCCTGAAGGGCCGGGACCTGCGAGCAGCCCCACCGGCGTCCCACTGCATCTCAAGGACACGGAGGCTCCTGGAGCCTTCGCTGGAGCCAGTACCATGCCAAGCCCTCCGGAACCCAGTGGAAAGGTCTGGACTTGCTGGCAGGAAAAACGAGCTCTTTCCCGTGTGCGATGGGAACAGATGTGAGAAAATAAGTAGGTCAAACTGTGGGTGTAGTGACCCTAACTGGCTGTGTCTCTTTAATTATAAGGAAACTTTTGAGCAGGACAGCTTTCCACCAGCTGAACTGTGAAGAGGAAAAAACACAAAGTTTCCTGGAACAGAGGGATGGCACTAAATATGCCAGCTGGAAGGAGGGTGCCAGTGTGCGGTTAAACGTCAGAGATAAAGGGAAAGGACTGCTCACTTCAGGGGGCGGGGGGGGGGGGGGGGGGGAATGAGTGGATTGGTGGCAGTCCTTTAAAATTCCAGAAGTTTCTTACTCTTCCAATGGATGGGAATTACAGTTCCAAATATAAAGAAATAAGTACCATTGCTATTAAGCACAACCCTAGACTGACTCTAAAGTCAAGGAGGTGGTGGTGGAAAGGGAGAAAAACTATGCCCAGTCAAAAATCCTCCATCATCTGCAGGCCAAATCCACTCAATTCAAGAGTTACTCCCGGAGAGTTTAACATTAGGGCCCAGGGTTCTGATGGGAATTTGCTAGACCAGAAGCAGTGTGCGAATATCATGAATGTTTCCTGCTACTTCCTCAGGACATCTGATTAATCAGGTAAGGAGACCAAGGGCAAAGACCAAAAGCAGTCCAGTCACAGACCATGGCTTTTCCTGCAGTCCAGGTGTCCGCGGAGGCATGCAAAGGCCCTTATCTACCCATAGTCCTTAGGGGCTTTGGGAAATCAGGGGGGTTGTCTAAGTACTTTAAGGACCTGGCACTCAGTCATGGGTGTACATTTTCTGGGCTCTGTCTTTAGGGCTGTCATCACAGATCCCAATACTTCCGTGTCACACTGGAGTTAGAACCAGCTGGGGCACACACAACCACAACATATGTAGCTGTACTCCCTGGTTCAGGAAGTCAGCATCTGGTGGCGGGTTTGGAGGAAGTGTGGCAAAGGTCTGCACAGTGGCCATATCAGCCCGAGCTCTGAGGGCAGGCCTCGCGTGGCGCGGGCTCTTCTGTCTCCCGTACCCAGGCCCTGAAATCCCAGCCTGGACTGGGTTCCTTGGGTTCAGAGCACCGCTTCCCCATTCTCCTCTGGCTTGAAAGCACAACCATCCTACTGAGAGAATGGCAATCAAAAAAGTGCTCCCTCCATCATCACTTGGCGTGATATGCTTCACATACTGACCTTTATCTATTTTATTCAGCTGAGACCAGAACACAGCGGGAAAGGTGACTTTGACAGAATAGGATGACTTAATGCTGAGAGAGAGCACAGATTGATGCCCTGGTTTCCAGCCCTGGCTCTGCCACTCAGCATCTTCCGACCTTGGGCAATTACTTCTGTCTCAGAGTCTGTTCCTCACTGGTGATCATGCCTACCTAGCTTTGTAATACCTACTGCCAGGGGACTGAGAGGATAAAATTAAATAAAAAGAGGTATGTGGAGGTACTCTACATGCTGAAAAGCACTGTACAAGAGCGAAGTGATTCATTATCAGGTTACAGATGAGCTGGAACAATGAGGGAAGGCGGTGGGAGGGTATCAGCTCCAGGAGAAAGACACAGAAATGGGCTGACAAAGGGCACTGACCTGGCTTACAGTTTAATTAACATTGTCTAGGGTCACCGTGCCCCAGATAAGGACTTGAAACTCAAGTTACAAGGGTGAGTCTGGGTGAAGGACTGCAACTCTGCAGGCTTTCCCAAGCCTCCAGAGCTGGGGGGAGGGGCAGCGTGGCAGCAGAGTGGAGACCAGGATGTAGAGTCAGGCTGCCCAAGACACAGAATTAAGTCTGGGCAGCCTGACTCCAATCTAGTTGTGACGTTTGAGATTTAATTTTGTCAGGTGTGCATGAGTTTTTTAAATGCCATCCCCTCCCCTCCCCCCCCCCCCCCACACACACACCTGCAGGTTCAATGATGGCAACTCCATGGGGTTCTAGTTAATATCACTAACGGACACGTGTGTGTGATTTCAGCAAGAGCTGCCACAATGAGGGGAAACCATGACTGCAGACAGGTATTAAAACATCCAAATGCAACAGCAGCATTGCATCCAAAAATAAAAAGAATTACCACGCAAAAAAGTCAGCAAAAGAAACCCAGGAATTAGCTACAACTCTAAGTTTATGAAATTGGCCATAAAGCAGATCTCTTTCCCTCTCTCTTCTTTTCTTTCCCCTTTTAACTTCACTCTCCCACAGTAACCCCTCTACCTTCAATATTACTCTAGGGGATTTAAACTAATAAATAATTACAACAAATTAAAATAAAAATAGCAATAATAACAACAGGAAACCATCATGTACAGTAAATAAGGGGCAATTCCGTTCCCTCCACAGCTTGTTAACATTTATGTACAAAAAAAGAAAGCCCTCTACAATGATACTTTCTAAATCGACATGTTAAAAAGTTGAAATTCCTCACAATGTAGGTGTGACATTTCAACAATATGCTTTTAAAAAATAAAGACATTCCAGCGTTTGTTTCAATTCACTTATCATTTTCCAAACAGGAAATCTTATTCTTTTATCTTTTGGGGAGAATTTTATAGGATGCTGCAAATGCACATTACTAACAAAAAGAGAGGCAGATCAACTGTGATTTAAACTGTCATAATTACACTTCAAAGGTTAACTACTCATTCCAATAAATCCAAGCTCATACCGCCTTTGACATTATTGCTTCATCGGACAAGTGGCTTAGGCAGCAGTATAGCTCTCAATGATCCACTCAGCACAGAAGATCCTTAAAGCCCCATTTGAACTGAGACTTGAGACAGTTTACAGGAAGAGCGAATCATCCCTCAGAGATGCCAAGGATATGAAGTGCCTTAATTGCCAGATGTTTGTTTGAGATGGATGCAAATCAAGTTTTGACTAACACCGCTGGGCAAGAGCCACTGTCCTTTTCGGGGCAGAGGCTTACACTAAGAGGAAGTTATAAAATAAAGTTTATATAAAATAGCATAAGCTCAAAATTAAAGCTATGCCACGCCGTGAGATTTCATTGTCACATACTGGCCAGTTCCCATCGTTGTACTAGCATTTAAAATACTAAGCCCCCACCCCTCCCAAATTCTGGACACCAGGTCCTTCATCCCGTAACCCGCTGAGCACTGCCCTGCTAACGTGCAGCCCCAATTCTCACTCTGCCAGAACTCAACCCGTTTTCTACTTGAAATCCTATTCTTTTTCTACTGAAAAGTGAAGTCCACGTGATTAACTCTGGAACAGACAGGGTGGAGTTTGCTTTTTACCTTCAGTGCTGGGCTTTTTCATTTCGTCCACCCTGATTAGTTTCTTTCTCACTCTGCGAGTGGAGTTGACCAGCTTGTGTAACCTCTTAAACTTCACCGACTCCTCGGTCTCATCATCCGATTGTTCTCTTGACTGGCAAAGAAACAAAAGAAAAGTTAATCAGATAATTGCTCCGGAGCTCTGCTCTTGCAGCCGGTGCAGCCCGGCCTCGCCGCCAGCGTGCGCTCTGGCAGTGCTGCAGCAGAACCTGGGGCACCAACCAATCTGCCCAACAGGTTCCTGAAGCTCCACCTACCTACCATCTTAAGGTCTAAGGAGTGGAGAAGCAGGTCCTAGGCAGCAGGACACACACCCTTGCCCTTGACCGGCATGTGCTGCATTTTGTCTCCAGTACTTGCCAGTGCCCTGTCGGGAGGACACCAAAGGACTCTCTCTCCAAGGCTGGCCCTGTAATTCCAGTTTCACTGCTGTGGTTTGGGCCAGGCTCTCCTCTGTCTGGCCCATCAGGACTTGCTGTTTAAACGTGGTCACCAACTACTTCTCCAAACCAAAATTCTGTTGACTTGTTCCAGTCCTCCCCGAAAATCAAAACCAGCAGGGCAGGAAAAGGGAAGAGATGCGAAAAGCCGCCTTCCCTGTCACCCGTGAGGACCTCCTACCACATCCCTCCGGCCTCTCCCAGCTCCTTCCAAGAGCTCCCCAGGCCAGCGTGAGGACAGCCCCTGCATTCCTCCGCGAGGGACAAGGGAAAAAGCTGACCTTTTCAGCCATACACTACAGTCCATATTCCCCAGCATCCCATTCCGTTTTGCAGCGATTCAAGTATGCTCAGCCCAGCTGTTTTCCCTCAAGTATCCAACATTACAGAGAGAAGAAAAAATTTCTCTCCGCAGCAGTGACCCAGGCAAAAAACAATCCTTTCCTTGTGAAGCAAATGAGGGTTTCGCTTCCAAGTCCGTTCCAGCATTCAATACGCAGCTTCCTCTGTTTTATCTGTTCAAAATGTAAAAACCCCAAAAGACGTCTCCAACGAAATGGGCTGCCGCGCGGCCGGGCTCGGCATTCCCGGGGCGCAGAGCGCTGGCATTGCGCAGGCGCGGCACACCCTGGGCAGCTGGTGCGACTCCAGCTGGTACTGCGCATCCTGGCAGCAGCTTTCTCTCCATTTCCTCAAGCCCATTCCCTGAAGGAGCAGGGAGAGGAATGCCTCCACTGAAATCCCGGACACAAACATGCCACATCTCTGAGCACGGGTTCAATATGGAGACTTCCCCCCAAGAAATGCACTTCTTAGTCGCGACTGTATGGATGATAAAATAGGTAACCAAGAGTGAGCACAGCACAATTCAAGAGGAAATGGGTAGAGATTATATGAATTGCTTGGGTATAAAAATGGTGCATGTCCTGAGTCTGCACATATTTCTGCAGCACTGCGGCTCTACGGCAGGGATCACTACAACCCAGTTCCTGGCCTCCTTCCTGGGGCTCCCAGCGTGTACGTTCTCCCTGCACGACTCTAGGCAAATCATTCACCACTAAAGAATAATGATTACCACCCATCAATGACAAGTCATCGGACAGGGGTATTTCTCAGGCTTCCCTTCTGTGAAGAGTATCAATATCCATGGTCAATTTCCCTAAAATTCCTAGATAAAATGTTGCACACACACCTCAAAATTAAGGTTAACTACTGGTTACCTGGTGATCAAGAACAGAAATTAGCCCTAGCCAGTTTGGCTCCGAGGATAGAGTGTGGGACTGCAGACTGAGGGGTCCTGGGTTCGATTCTGGTCAAGGGTACGTACCTCGGTTGCAGGCTCCTCCCTGGTCCGGCCCTAGTTGTGCAGGAGGCAATCAATCTATGTGTTTCTCTCACATCTAAATCTCTCTGTCTTTCCCTCTCTCTTCCACTCTCTCTAAAAATCAATGGAAAAATATCCTCAGGTGAGGATTAACGATAAATAAATAAGTAAATAATAAAGCAAACATTAAAAAAATAGAAATTGCACCCCCAGGTGTTGGGGGGAGGAGGCTATATTGCATGCTGGTAATTAGGCTTACTGCATTTGGCCTAAAACTCAAAATGTAAGACAATTACAAGGAAATAAATATAGCCCCTACTCTATAATGATATTGTCTGGTTTTAATTTCATTTTACTTCACTGAATTGTTATGTACAATGAAACGGTTGCAGTGGTCAACCAGAGGAATGAGAACTTGGTCAACGCTCTTTCTGGGTAATTGGCACCTGAACAAAACCACAATGAATGGAATTAGACGTAAACATGTAAAAACATTCCGCCTTCTGGATGTATCTCAAAAGCCAGGCAAATCTAATAGAAGAATAATCAACACTAGATTATAGAAAGTCTCTGTACATACCAACAGACAAACTTAGAATAGGTATGTATGTCTATAACCCTCACATTAAAAAATTTTGAAAATGAAATAAGCGTAAGTTGTTTATAATCAAGATATAGAAGGCTACATTAGAGGATAAAAATCACTGATGTATTATATATACCTCACACCTAGCTTGGGGTTGCTTGGGGTGGTGATGGGGTGTGTGTGTGTGTGTGTGTGTGTGTGTGTGTGTAAGGGATAGGGGAAGTAAAAAGAGAAATGGAATACAGAAAGAACACAAAAACCTTCAGTCCACAAAGACACAAATCTTAAATAGGAAACAAGCCATCAGAGGGAACTTTTCTGGGAGAAATAAAAAAAAGTGAAACCAGGACAACAGATTTAAAGGCAAAGACACGCCCCCTCCCCCCTGCTCCTCCAGTCCTAATTTCCTCTGCCCAGATTCACTGTGGTGAAAAATAACATATTCCAGGTACTTATTTAATTGCTTTCACATGGCCCATCAACTTTTAAGAAACAGAAGCTCCTTAGAACTTTGAACTAATGGTTATTTTTCTTTAAAAAAATGAATATTTTGGAAGTGTTTGCCTCTGACAAAACATAAATCACAGCAACCAATAACTTTCTTTTTTTCTAAATATATTTTTATTGATTTCAGAGAGGAAGGGAAAGAGAGAGACAGAAACATCAATGATGAGAGAGAATCATTGATTGGCTGCCTCCTGCATGCCCCCACTAGGGATCAAGCCTGCAGCCTGGGCATGTGCCCTTGACTGGAATCGAACCCGAGGCCCTTCTGTCCGCAGGCTGATGCTCTATCCACCAAGTCAAACCGGCCAGGGCACTGATAACTTCCTTTGCATTGCCATGTTTTTAATACTAGACAAGGTAGATGCAACACAATTTGTATGAAGACAAAATGTGAAATAAAACCATATATATAGTAAAGTCTATATATATTTCTTCTTTAAAATAGAAAAATCTCTTAAGTAGCCTAGAAGTTACTGAAGTTGGACAATGAATCCCAACAATGTTTTTTATTGAGGTGTTGACTTCTCACTTCCTCCAGAGTCCAGAGGAAAAACAATTGTGAAATATTTGCCTTTAAAAAGTTCTCTCCAGCTGTTTTAACATAAAGACTGTAAAAGGCATGCATTTGTTTTAAACTTAAATTTCTTTTAAGCTTAAATTCCTCATTTCATGTCTCTCCTTTTACATAAGCAATGTGTCACTTCCCAAATGCTGGAAATAATATATTGTGTCTTTTTATTCAGAAAATATACCCAGATATGGGGGTGTGAGAATTTACAATTTTTAAAAATATATATTTTTATTAATTCCAGAGAAGGAGGGAGAGGGAGAGAGAGAAATAGCATCAATGATGTGAGAGAATCATTGATGGGCTGCCCCCCCCCCCCCCCGCGTGCCCCTCACTGGGGATGGAGCCCGGCAACCAGGCCATGTGCCTCTGACAAGAATCGAACCCGGGACTCTTGAGTCTGCAGGCTGACGCTCTATCCACTGAGCCAAACTGGCTAGGGCTACAATTTTTTTTTTTTTAAATTAAGAAATCTTCCCACCGGGAGGAACTTAATAGAAGATGAAGAAAATCTGCACTGTATACGAATGATTGATTCCAAAATAAATTCAGAACTATTATAAGAAAAGTTTTAAATAAACTACAGTCAAAAAAATGTATATATTTTATATACATTCAAACACGAAATGGTCTCTCCTCCCCTTCCCTGTCCTGCCCCAGGACAGAGTAATAAAATAAACTTTAATTTGCTCATCTTCTAAATGAGGTGAAAACTCAATCATCTGCATAAACCCCCCCACCTCTAATCCTTTAGTAGAAAACAGCAATTAATGTATCCCACCAAAGGATGTGGAAAAGTGGATTTACAATATTATGAATACAAACATTTGATTTCCAGCCTCTGTATTGCAGATTTTTCCAACAGAAAGCCCATAGGGCTTAACGTTTAATTACTTTGGCTAATGCTATATGTAGTAATTCTGTGGTGAATGCTTAAGTGTTTCATTTCTGGTTTCCATGGCAACATTACATCAGATTGCAGACAGCTGGCTCCACAGTTTTAAACCATAACAAAGTGACCAAGCCAAAGCACAAAACTATAGCTGCTTTAAAGAGATAGTACACCACTGACTGCCAGGGTGCTGAATGAGGAACCGAGGGGGCCCTTTGGCTCGCAAAGGTGGGTGGAGCCTCCTTCCCTCTCAGCTCCTTTTGGAACATGTGCGTCCTTGACACATCTGCAATGTTCTAATAGGAAAGACATGGAGCCAGCGTGGAGGACTTTTATAACACAGCTACATTCTAAATGATCGGAAAAAAAGGAACACGATTAACAGCATCTGTTGATACAAACATTTGTGTAGTGGCGCAAACTCACAGTGTCCCCTCGCTGTTCAGTGTAAGCCTGTCACTGCAGGTCGGTAAACAGATCCTTCACTGAACCCTGTAACTACAATTCCTGCAACTCTGATGAGACAAACACATGCTTTCCGAAAGCTGCATGGCACAGTGGTGCAGGCACAGGCGTCATGGACTGTCATGTCATACAGGTTAACGCGACCTTGCAAGGAGCAACCAGAACCCTCTGGGGATAGCTTGAGACCACACTGAGCACAGGATTCCCACCCAGCCTTCTGAAGAAACACACTCAGCTCACTTCTCCAGCTCCAAACACCCCTTGCAGAGTCTCAATTAACAGCCACACTAAGTCGACTTATCTCCCCCAGAG